ACGCTACGAACAGGGCTCCTGGCCTTACTACTAGGAGCAAGGACGCTCCTATATATAATCCAAAGCCCAACTCGCAAACGTTCTTCGCTCCACTAAAGTGGTGGAACCCTTCTTCTAGAGGACCACTACCCCTCCCATCCTCCAGAGGAATTATCAACAGGCATGGTAGGTGAATGTCTCTGCTCTAGAGGATAATGATCTATTGTGGTTCTTCACCCACCGCTGGGGCCAACAATAACGCTCTGCATACCTTCCCCGCACTTCTGCCCGGTCGAAATGCTTTGTTTGAAACCAGGCAACCAGCAAGTCAAGCTGGGCTCATCCAAGCGGGCCTTCGTTTTGCTGATGGCAAAAGCTTCGCCCTTACCTGACAAATCTGCGGAGAGAAAGAGGACAATGGCTGACCCCCTCAGTTGAACCTTTTTCCAACTGTTGGATGGATTTGGGTGTGAAAACAAATCCTCAAAAGTTATATATAATTTGTGTCTATCCCAATACCTGTAACAGTGGATGATGATGGTTAGGTTGCAGGCCTTATCCAAAAGTAGTGATTTGCTTGTTTACGGGTCCTGTTACAGGTAAATTCAAACAAACCCAAGTTATAATGATCAACTGTCGGGCGTGTTCAAACTGGTCAGACAGTTCCAGCCAACGACCTGGACGTGTTTTTTGACACATGAGAATTCGGCGCTTGGGCTGTTGGTCAAAGCTCTGCTCAACGCCTGAAAAGACACTTGCCGTGGGGTCTTCGTCAATAAATTGCAAACAATGGGACTTGCCTATTTACATCTATTCACCTAGATCGGTGTGGTTGATCTGGGGTCAATGCAAGCATATATTCCAGTTCCATGGATGTGGAATGGATGCTCACGGGAATTGCCAGGAAAGCACCTGCATCTTGAAAAGAAAGAACCGGAACCCCTCAAGCCAAGCCCAATCAAACAACCAAACATTGGCAAGAACGACAATACCAAAATAATTTGGATCATACATCGACACATAAACGTGCTCCCAGCCCTTGAAAATAACACCTTCACCTGTGCAAAAAATGGGGGGCACCCTTCACTTGATCCCTCCCACCCTAACTCCATCCCGTGGCGGACGGTACCGGTCAACTCTCCAGCGCGGTACACTCGGATGGACTGGTCAAGAGGCTAATACTGCGGCGCCGGGTGCCTGAAGAGCTCTTCTGGAGCCAGCAGGAATAGGGCACAGAGATGCTCTGCCCAGGACTCCTTGGACTTGCGGGAAGTGATCGATTGCAGCAAGGATTAGTAATTATGTTGACCAAATATGACCACATGGGTATAAGTAAGTCAGTTAGTTTGACAGCTCAGAAACCCTGACATAACTAGCAACGTGACGTCACAGAATTATCCTTTGTGCTCTTCATTGTTCACCATTAGGACGGCCTTCCCAGTACAAGTACGCCAATCAAACGAGCATCACATGGCATCACATGAAGACCCAGGTGAGAATCCACACTCTGACAACATCTACCTAGCACTTCCAATGGGTGCCCTGTCTGGAGACCTGTAAGTAAGGTAGGGTAGTCCAGCCAGGACACCCATTGGATGACCCTGCCTTCTTCGCTTCTCTCCAACTGATTTTTAACCTTCCTCCCGAAAACCGCGTGAAGCCTTCTTCCTGTCACGGCAGCCATGGCCATTGGGTATCTACTGTTCACGTGGTGTTTCGAATCCCCAAAGAAGGCAAGCATCATACAACTATATAACACCAAATACACTATAATACATTATATGGCACTATACAATCAAATAAATATCAAACACTATATACTGTATAACACTATATACATCTACAACACACTATATACCTTATATAACACACTTATTTAAACATGTGTTTGTTTTTGTTTTAAACAAACTATATCCCTCCAAGTCGATGACCTCGTAAAACTTGTCCATCTCAATATGAAGACATTGAACACTATTAACTTTACGTTGAACACCTTTTACTTGACCCCATCAAAACCTGAATTGTGTTCATTGTCTCCTGAGAGGTGGATTTAGTTAAATATGTAAGGAAACCTGCTCCTTTTTTGGTTGGTATTTTGGATGGCAAGCGGCTAAGCCAAGAACCGCAGTAGAGAACCATGGGTAACTGCTGGATGGCAAGCGGCTAAGCCAAGAACCGCAGTAGGATGTCTTCTAGGAACCAAGAGGTTATGTCTGGATGGCAAGCGGCTAAGCCAAGAACCGCAGTAAGATTTCAGCTAGGAGCCATTAAGGGTTGCTTCTGGATGGCTAGCGGCTAAGCCAAGAACCGCAGTAGGATCACCTCTAGGAACCACTGGGGTCACCTGCAGATGGAGGCTCGTTGTTTGTATTTTACAGCAAATTTTTGTAGGCGACCCAATTTGAGGCCTCAACATAGATGACATGGGTCCTTGACCTCATGGAGTACTGGTTTTGAATACTGGATCCAGTCACATTAGGCCCTTCACCTGTAGGGCATGAACACACATTTGCATGCATTCATGCCTCACTTCCCTCCTCGTGCGTTGGGATGCGGCGAGCAATAGCTCATCACCGGAAAGCCTGGGAGCCTATCGTCGAAGATGAAGGTGCACATGCCATGTTTAATCTGGGATGGACACTGGGATGGACAAGCAGTGGGAACAGGGTGTTTGATGGCAAGCGGCTAAGCCAAGAACCGCGATGGGATGATGAATTGATTTTTTTTTGAATAGAATTGGAGAGGAAACTGGTGGTTGTTTGGTTGGATATCTGGATGGCAAGCGGCCAAGCCAAGAACCGCAGCTAGGAACCAAGAAGTTGCAGTTAGATGGCAAGCGGCTAAGCCAAGAACCGCAGTAGGAAATTTTTGGTGTTTCTGAGCAGAACCACATACATGAGCCGATCTTGATGTGGCCATTTGGCTGGATGAGCTGGATGAGGGAGCACCATTGCAAGGCAACAGTGTTTCTGCACGATCATCCCTAGGACTCGACTGGGGCGGGGGTCACGTCTCGAAGCCATGCCGGATTCGAAGCCACGGGAGCTGCTTGTTCAGGTGCTGAAGGCCAGGCCATTTGGAAACTGACATGAGGGACTGTCAAAACTCCTGATTCGGTTTTGAGTTGGACCTTATCCATTTGCAGGGTTGTGAGCACAAACCTACCCCTCTTTCAAAAAGTGGTCTTTGCATGTTTTGACTGTGGCTCACATGATGCTGGAGCTGCATAGAGGAACCACGACCACTGACTAGATCTTTGGAGTTGGACTTGTGTGCTCACATGGAGAGCACCCACCTGAGCCTGGCTAGGACTTCTATGATCAACGGCTGGTGGATGAGGGCAGGGAGATCCGCCTGGAGGATTTGGCCAAGAAGATGGGAATGCCAGCAACTTGACATGGGAAATGGTGACTTTAAGTGGAGTTGGCCACACAAGGACCAGATACTACTATCACTGGCCTTTGGATGAGATCATAGCGGAAACTGTACAGAGATCAGCCAAGGAGAAGAAGTTTCAGAAGATGATGAAAAAGGGTGTTGCATCTTGACAGCAGTCCACTTGGAGCATCTCTGGATGTTAGTCAGCAACGGTTGCATGGCAACTTTTGCCCTTGAGCCACCTCGATTAAATTCCTCAGATTACCTAGGCCTAGATATCTTAATTAATGGACAAGTTTTACAAGGTCATCGACTTGGAGGGTATATAAAATATATTTAAAAGAAACTTAATGGTGCCACACCTGCGTGTCGAAGTCGGTTCCCCTCGCCGCACCGAACAGCAACCCCCACTGCGACCCTTGGTTTGCCCACGGTCCGTCATGTTCACTCATCGTCCACCATGTCCAAGGAGAATGGATGTTGGGCACGAAATCACCCAGGGTGGATTGAGTATGGATCTTTCACTCTTCAAGGGGTATTTCCAAAAAAGCTGCCCTCATCCATCCACCCATCTGCATCGATCGATGTCGGCGCCCAGCAGTGACACCTGGTTTTGACCCAGCCAAGTGGGTTGTCCTGACCAAACAGGGTGCCCCTTCCAACAGGAAACATTTTTTGACCTTGATCTTTTGGGTTTTCACCCCTAGGTCTTCTGAGTTGTTTAGGGCACCCTGTTCACTACTGCGGTTCTTGGCTTAGCCGCTTGCCATCCCACCAGCCACCCTTTCTGTGGCCACCGGAACCGAATTCTTTGCTTTTGCCTGGCAATGCTTGGCAATGGCACTGAGATTAATGAGGGTCAACCCTGTATGGATCTGGTCATATCTTCTTTACATGTCTTTACTCTTGGTCTTTTGGGAGTATGGTTCGTACTGAGTATCCATAGGAGCTGGTATCCAGGTTCCCGTGGAGTTCAGCTTCGTGGATGCGGAGAAGGGCCTGGATGCGAAAACCTTCAAGAAGGACACCAACTTCCTGTTCTGCAGAGACTGGATTTGTGTCTTTGGACACCGGAGAGTGACATCAAAGGAGACCCAGGCCAGCTCATGGGTTCTGGATGGTTCTGGATTTGGGATTTTTTTGGATATCGGCCAGCGCTTGGTCAAAGTAGAGCATTATTGAATTCCATGCACTGATATCCTCAGTTGAATGAATCAGGCCACTTTTGGTGGGACACAAGAAACTCTGGTCCACTCCTGTCTGGACACCCTTCTATGACACTCTTGTGGAAATCTCTGGTCCACTCTTGTAGGACACCCTTTTGGGACAGGTCACCCTCTGCTCCACTCCTGTAGGACACTCTTATCGGACACCCTTCTATGACACTGT